CACACTCAATGTTGTCATCAGCCACAGACATGGACATGCGTTTTAATCTAACTAGAATGTGGAAAATATTTTTCTCATCCTCCTAGATTGGCTTATGAAATAAAAAATACTACTTGTGGGTAATGTGTTTCCTTAAACAATGTACTATTTTAAAAAAGGCAACATTCACTAAAAAGCAAAAATGAGAAAGAAAGGAGGGAATGGAAACAACACAGTGGAAATAATGGCAATGTTGACATATTGTAAAAGTTTTAATTAATGACAGAATATTTGTATAAAAGTTGTCAATGGGAACCTAATTTGCTACAAACAGTTTAACCTAAAAAGCTGTAAAATATCATTAAAAACAGGGAAATATCTTTACAGCAAGGATCATTCCCATCCACTCCATACACAGAGTAGACAGGGATGGGCAACTTGGACATTAGCTACCCAAAGTGGGGGAGGCTACAAAGGCGAGAAGTGACTGGCTTACAAGCTTTCAAGAGGGAACCTAGATTCAGAGGGCATGGAGGAAGGTAGAATCTCCAGAGTAGTATCCAATCTGTCTAGACAGGGCTGATGAAAGTGAATTAATTGTTATCAGGACTGATTGTGAGGGTTGGAAATGTAAAGGTAGACGTTTTGTAGCAAGGAGGGGAGTGATTTTCAGTCTTGGAGCGGATGTCCCTGGGACCATCAAGGGAGAAGAGCGGAGAGCGGGGCCCTACCCAGAGAAGCAGTGATGCCTGAGATGGAGGCAGAGATGATGACGTGGAGCAATGGAGCAGCTGGAGACTTTAGATCCAGAGAGGGAGAGCGACTGTATGCTGAAGACCTGGGGGGCATGGGGGAAGGATTGCATGGAGGGGATTGTAATCATGGCAATGAAACGATATAGGATAGGATGAATGTAAAACTAATGTTCTCCCATGTAAACTACCCCATAATTCACAATAAAATATTTTTAAAAATCATTAAAAAGAAAGGAACTGGGAGACTGATACGTAACTGTGGACATTTATTACTTTCAAATAAAGTTTTTACACTTACAGGGTCACTATGGGTCAGAACCAACTCAACGACACTTAACTATTACGTATCATCATCTTTTGAAATAACTGTTAACTCCGTAAGGAGCTCTGGTAGTGTACTGGTTACGAATCAGGCTGTTAACCTCTGCGTCAGCAGTTTGAAATTGTTCTGCGGGAAAAAGATGAGGCTTTCTGCTCCCATAAAGATTTACAGCCTCAAAAACCCTGTACAGGGTCCACAGCACATAACAAAAACAACTTAAGAATAAAAATGTATGAAGGCTAAAAACCTCAGAATAAACAGAGAATCTTTATAAAAAGCTTACTATTTGTTATTTTCTGTGATTTCACCGCAGAGTCATCAAAATCATATCATGCAAAACTCACCAGGATTTGAAAATCATGTTCTCCACTAACTTTTGAAAATTGACAATAAAAGGAAAAGAGTTTGCGAGAAAGACCCTCCTTCCCTCCTATAAATGGAGATAAGTAAAATATGTCCTATTAACTTGGATCTTTAGGAGTAATAGCTGTCTTGTTATGATCAATTTTAAAACAGACTACTGTGCGGGCATGAGCACAAATTAAACTTTTACGTTTGGCTTGAGAATCAGTAGTCTTTGAATATAAACTACTAGACTACTTTTTTCACATACATATGAACTACAGAAAGAATGTAAGGATATACTTGTCATATGCATAAACTACGCCTGATACATTATGAGGGCTCAGTAAGACTACTGAAATGTATACTGAAGTGGCATTTACCACATAAAACTAAACAATTCAAAGACATTTCATTTCTAAACTGCTAAAAAAAAAAAAGTATGGCACAGCAGCTATCGGTACCAAGACTACTACTCTGAACTCAGACAGACAAGGGTTAAGTCTCAGCTAGGTGACCTCTGGAAAGTTATTTAACTTGTCTGAGTTTGTCACCTTACATAAAAATAGAGAATACTTACTTCATAAGGCTGTAATACTGATTAAGTGGCAGTTACAATTTTTATATAACATGAACTGTCAAAATCCCAGAAATAGCACAATTTTTAAAGCCCTAGACCAAATTATCCAAATCTCTGGAGGATGACGTGAACATCAAGATACTTTTCTAAAGTTCTACAAGTAATTCTGACTCCTGTTTAGGAATCACTTTCCAAGAGCCTTAATTACTAACTTTACCTGTGCCCAAGGTAAGAGATAACAGAGTTTTAAGTCATGATATTCAGATTTCGTTCCAAGTTTCTAAGACAAACCTTTATCTCAAATTCTTCCTAAAGAGAACAAAATCATACTGCAAAGCTCTAATCTGACACATTTTTCCAAAGTTGGGAAAAAATGTGATCCCATATTAAAATTCTACATAAAAATTAGGCATACTCTGATCTATTCATGTTCCTAAGTTTCAAAAAGGGCACTTTAAACATGTGTGTAAAAGATCTGTGCCCCAAGGCTTTATACAATATTGATATGTAATTTGTCTTATTTCTGTATTGTCTGTCTTGAAAATGGGTGTTTACAATTAAAATACAATGATACTTCATTTAAACTCACATTTTTCCTCCACCATATACATTTTAAAATATGTTGTCTCAGAAATAATCTTAAGGCATCTACAGCAAAATCAAAACAGTAGAAGCACATTTGAAATCCTAATTCAGCAAAATATTTTAATGAAATATACAGCACACAAACATACAAACAAAATCATGCACATTTTATTCCAAAAGAATCTGCGAAATGAAAATTTTATGAAAAAAATTCAGTCTAGAAACACAATAAACTTCAAAGCAAACAAGGCTTACAATGGCTGTAACAGAAATCAAAGAAATTCCGGAAGAATGCAAGCAACAGAAATCTTCCTTAAAGTTTTTTACTAGTTTTGGTATTGAGAGAACCCGAAAGGCAAGGAGAGATAATACAGGTTTTCATTGATTTATAGGCACTGGATTGCAAACTACAAGTTCAAAGTCACCAACTGCTTCTTGGAAATTGGGTCACACAGGGTCACTATAAGTTGTAATCAACTTGATGGTATTTAATAATTTATATGTTAGCAGATTCCAACAGCCAACCTTTTGGTTGGCAGGCAAGTACTTTAATCACTGCAACACCAGGATCCTTTAATTTGAAACATGAATAAGATATTTTCCCAGTTACTTACATTAGTGAAACTTCGGAGTGAATAATGCAATTGCTAACTTAAGTGTTAAAATCTAAACTTGCATGCAACATCACATAAGTTATAAACTCTAAATGTGTGTTATTCAGTGAACAGAGAAGCCTTATAAATACATTTAAACAACAACAAAAACCATTAACATAACTCTAGCCACACAGAAAATTAAATTGATTTAAAGAATGGTGCAGTAGATTTACACTAAGTGTTCTATAAATTCCAAATATTTTATAGATTATATACACAAGTTAGAGGAAACAATGAACTATTTGACATAACCATTTTCAAAGTTAAGTATTTTTAAAAATCCTAAATTTATCAATGCACAATTCTAAAACACTGAATCGACTAACGGATGTTAGTTTACAGTTACTTTTTTCGGATTTAATTGTCAGAATACTGTGTTTTGTTTTTGTGTTGTTTTTTTTAATTTCCCTTTAACCACTTTGTGGAAAATGAAAGTTTACAAATTCAAAATCAAGCTGAAGAGACTCCTATTTGAGGGCACTCTTCCAAAATTCATCCAATCGTCCAAGTTTCAAAATCATTTTCCTCAATATTCACTGCAGGCATGCATGGATGACACACTTGAGAGCGAACAATAGTGCTTACATCCTAACTACATATAAGTCTGAAGAACAGTGGGTCAACACTACTTGGTGGTGGTGGTTCTGTTCCGTGGAGTCGGTTCCGACTCATAGCGAGGTTACCCCGTACAGGGTTTCCGAGGCTGTAAATCTTTACGCTACTTAGATGCATGCTTTTTCGTCTAAGCTTAATTTTGCCTGGAAAGTCCTTAAAATAAGCACTTACAAACACCTAAGAAAGTTGAACACTCCTTTTAAAAAGATGCAGCAATTTTTAAATCCAAGCCATGGACGCTTAAACTACCAACACCTTCGGAAAGTTAGGTTATCGCAACCCAAGTTGCACCTTTAGAGAAACCAATCTGGGTCAATATGAGGGTGACGGGTTCTGAGGACATTTAACTTTGTTTCTCTTTGGTGAGTGAGTAATAGGAGAAAAGTACATTTTACTTCAAGCTAATAGTAAGTCTTTTCTCAGCCTTTCATAAATACTGTACGAAAGTATGGGTTAGGTTTCTGCGAGTGAAAGGCTCGCTTAAAAAAAAAAAAAAAAAAAAAAGTTTTGCGACTAGTAAACGTTGATGAGTCAATAAGTAATGAAGAACTGAATAGGATCCCAGGGAATAAAGCAACGTCCCAGGTAAGAAGGTACATAAGAGTTGACAGGTAGGAAACGAACACTTCGTAGGTAAACCTCAAGCCATTGTGTTTAGAAAGAAGCGTGGCTGTCAAGGGGCAAGTACGTACCAAGTCGGGGGAGGGGGTCAGATAAGCCAAAACGTTAAAGGGGGGGTGTCCGATAAAAGATGGTAAAATGCCCACCCAAGTCTCCTTCTTTGGGTTCTCCACCTCATGAGGGACAAGCGAGAACAACGAACGTACCCAGCAGCTCACACTTCTCTCCATAGAGAGCATCCCAGCCCCAAGCCCCGGAGGCTGGGAAGGCCGTCTCCGGAGGAGCCCCCGCAGACGCCATACTAAAAGCCAAAATGGCTGCCCCGGGGAAGCCCGCACAGCGCAGCTAGAGAGGATTGGGGAGCAAGCTTCTGCGGGAAAGGGGGAGGGGGACTCAGGAAGAGCCGTCACCAGAACCGTCGCCCCCGAGCCACACCAGGTAGGTTCCTTTTGGTTTCTTGAGGCCGCGGGCTCGGGCTGAAAGGAGTCCCGGCCCCACCCCCCGGCCGAGATCCCCGCCGCCGCAGACCGTCCCCAACTTAGTACCTGCAGTTCGGCCCGTTCCACCTCCCAGTGCGCCCGCTCCATCTCGAATCGAGCCCACTCGTGCTGGATGTAGTGCAGTATCCCCGGGATAGTGTATTGCTGCGGCCGGGACAGCTCGGGGCCGGCCGCGGGGCCCGCTCCCTCGGCGGCCGGAGGACCCCCGCTGCCAGCTGCTCCATTTCCCCCCGGCGTAAGATTCATATTCCCCCCAGGTCCCTGCTGCTGCCGGGGGGGTGCCGCCATCCCCGGACCGCCACCACCGCCTCCAGCGACTTCGTCCATTGTGTGTGGGGCCCCGGCCGGGGCGCAGGGCGAAACGCCGACAGCTGGGGGAAGGGACGGGGAGGGGAGCCCCGCGCTGGTGTCGGGGCGGAGGCCAGCCGGAAGAGGGGCGGGGAAGGAGCCGTTGCAGTGTGCTTGCCGTGGGTCAGAGCTAGGAGCTGCCGGCCGCCGCCATTACAGTCCCTCCTCCATCTGCCCGTCTCAGTCACTCACTTTAGGGGAGGGGGGGGCCCGTGGCGGGAGGGGGAAGAGAGGGCAGGGTTGGGAAGGGGATAGACGTAGGGCCGTCGATACCGCGCTGCATGTCGGGTAGAGAAAGACGCTGTCGCCGCACGCCAAATAGCCAAATAGAGTCCGGCCTCACCCTGCGCAGGCGCACAGGGAACTCCTTTAGGGTTGCTGGTAGAGGGCGGGGAAGGATTTGGGGACCCGCCTGTAGGCCCGCCCCCTCCCCCGTCCCTCTCCTAGTGTCGGGGTCTGTATGCTAAGGGTATAGGACCTTGACTTTGAGAACCTCTGCTCTGGTCTTTCAGTTTAACATTTTCCTTCGAGTAGGCATTCCCCTGGCGTTGTTCCTCCCCCATGAGTCTCTGCCGCGTGCATCCTTCTGAGTTCTAGAGGAACTCAGCCCGTCCCGAATTCCTGACGTTTCTTTTGCATTCCTGGCGTGCTTCTGACCTCTTTCTCTACTTGTCACTCATTCTTTCTCCGGTTTCTTAGCGTTAGTTAGTTCCGGGAGCTTTTGGGACGTGCTCTTGGCAAATAGCCTAGGTCCTTACAGATGTGCTGACTGGATTCCCCGTCTTCGCATAACATTTCTCTGTGCCTCATCGCTCATCGCAACTTGTTTCACATTGCTTCCTCTATCCTTTCCTATTCTTTCATGGCAGTTGCGTTTTGAAGAGTTGGGAGGAAAATAGGAACGATTGTTTTCATTTTGTTTATTTTTCATGAGAATGGGAGGCACTGAAATGTCTTAGATCTTGACAGTGCTGGGTGAAGGAAGACGATAGATGAAAAGGGAAAAAGTTTTTCCCAGGCCACTAAAGATTGAGTGACTATACAGAAAAGACAAGATTCATTTTTTAAAAAAAACATTGTGTATTTTCATGCGCTCAGTTTCTCAGAAAACATCCTAATAAACTAGTGAAGTTTTTTCAAGTCTATAGTTAATCATCATTTGATTGAGAAATAGGACAAAAATAACATTTAAAACCTTAATAAGGAAAAAGAGGTTCAGGAATTACAGCTCTGCAGAAAAATTGCATATGAAGTTGGTTGCATTTTTTAGATTTTTTTTTTTGTCCTGTACCACACAAGCCAATACAGTTTTCAGTTTTTACTGTGGGTTTGTAGGAGCACCTCCACTCCGAATTTAATTTCGAAGACATTAAGTAGTACAGTTTATCATGACTGCTGTATCAATGTAATGGAGAGTGGATTAGACGAGTTCCCCATGCTGCCATGGTTTGTTTATATATGAAATGAGATCACAAACTATTAATTAAAATTTTTCCCCATATTATAAAAGTACTATTTCTCTGTTTTATGTTGTTGTTGTTAAATGCCGTTGAGACGATTCCGACCCATAGCGACCCTGTATGGGATTTCCAAGGAGTATCTGGTGAGCTTGAACTGCCAACCTTGCAGTTTAAACGGCTTTACAATCTGGTGCATTAACCCACAGCGCCACACCAGGAGTCCATTTTATAGCGACCAGCATAAAACTTGGCTTATTCGATCCAAAAACATAACACTCAGCACTGGACTGTGAACCACAAACCCACTAACTGCCCTATACAAGGTCACTATGAGTCAACTGTACTTAACAACACTCAAGTATTTTCCATCCCACCACCCCACCCACTGCCGTTCCACCTCACCCACTGCCATTGTGGCAATTCTGACTCCTAGCAACCCTACAGAGTAGAGTATAACAGCTCCTTAGCATTTCCTGGACTAAATCTTTACAGGAGCAGATAGCCTCATCTTTCTCCCACAGAGCACCCTGTACGTTTGAACCTCCAACTTTACAGTTGTTGTTACTGTTATGTGCCGTGGAGTCGGTTCCGACTCATAGTGACCCTGTACAGAGTTTCCGAGGCTGTAAATCTTTACGGGAGCAGAAAGCCTCATCTTTCTCCCACGGAACAGCTGGTAGTTTAAACTGCTGACCTTGTAGTTCGCAGCCCGATTCCTAACCACTACGCTACCAGAGCTCCTTTAGTAGCCTTAAAATTTCTTATGTTGTTGTGTACCATCGAATTGGTTTCGACTCATAGCTACCCTGTATATGAACCGACTCGACGGCACTTAACAATAACAACAATACTCAGAAACCCTATCTATTATACAGGGTCGCTATGAGTCAAAACCGACTTGTCGGCACTTCACAACAACAACATACTGAGTCCTAAGGAGCTCTGGTAGCATAGTGGTTTCGAATCGGGCTGCTAACCACAGGGTCAGCAGTTCGAAACTACCAGCTATTCCGCGGGAGAAACATGAGGCTTTCTGCTCCCGTAAAGATTTACAGCCTCGGAAACCCTGTTACAGGGTCGCTATAAATTGGAACCGACTCCATGCATATAACAACAACAACATACTGAGTCCTGATGTGACACTGTAGGATAAGCACCCTTTTTGTTTTGTTTTTTTGTTTTTGAGGATCCCTTTTATTGTGCTATTGTGATTTTAACATTTTCTTTTCCAATTGATTATTGATTATAAATAGAAAAGCAATAGATTTTCATTATATTTAGGAGTTGGCTTCCGAAAGTCTATGGAAAAATTCCAATTTCTTTTCATTCCATTTTTCCAAGAACTTTTTGCATCTTCCTCAGGTTTTTTTTTTGTTTGTTTTTATTGTAAATTATGTGATAGTTTACATGGGAGAACATTAGCTTTACATTTATCCTATGGTATATTGTTTCATTGCCATGGTTACAATACCCTTCATGCATCACCAAGGATAAGCACTCTAGAACCATAAGGTAGACAGTGCAAACTCACCAGCCACTCCTCAGAAACCCTACACAGGGTTGCATCGGAACCAACTCAACAGCACTTAACACGCTGAATTCAGGATATTGCACTGAACTGAACCACAATTTTGGTGGTTGAAACCCACCAGCTGCTCCTTACAGGGTCACTATGAGTTGAAATGGATGTGATGGTACTTAACAACAATAACAACATTCAAATAGTATAAAGATTGAAGTTGTCAAGGACTTCATTCTTCTTGGATCAACTATCAACACTCATGGAAGCAGCAGTCAAGAAATCAAATGACGTATTTCATTAGGCAAATCTGCTGCACAAGACCTTTTTCAAGTGTTGAAGAGCAAAGATGTCAGCTTGAGGACTAAGGTGTGTGTGCCTGACCCAAGCCATGGTATTTTCAATAACCTCATATGCATGCAAAAGCTGGACAGTGAATGAGGAAGACCTTAGAAGAATTGATGCTTTTGAGTTATGGTGTTGGAGGAGAATATTGAAAGTGCCATGGGCTGCCAAAAGAACCAACAGATCTGTTTTGGAAAAAGGGCAGCCAGAGTGTTCCTTGGAGGCCAAAATGGCCAAACTTTGTCTCTTGTACTTCGGACATATTGTCAGGAGGGACCAGTCACTTGAGAAGGACATCATGTTTGATAAAGTGGAGGGTCAGAGAAAAAGAGGAAAAACTCCAACGAGATGGATTGGCCAAGTGGCAGCATCAATGGGCTCAAGCGTGGCAACAGTAGTGAGGTTGGCCCAGGATCGGGCAGTGTATCGTTCTGCTCTGCATAACGTCGCTATAAGTCGGTACCAAATCGATGGCACCTAATGACAACAAATAGTGTAAGGAGCTCTGGAAACGTAGTGGTTACGAGTCAGGCTGCTAACCTGACGAGCAGCAGTTTGAAACTACCAGCCGTTGCGTGGGAGAAAGATTAGGCTTTCTGCTCCCATAAAGATTTATAGCCTTGGAAACCCCATGTAGGGCTGCTATGAGTCAGAACCAACGCCACAGTACACCAGCACCACCACTATCCTAATAGTAGCCTATGGTTACTTAATATTAATTGTTGTTATTGTTAAGTGCCATGGAGTCAGTTCTGACTCACAGTGACCCTATATAGTATTTCGAAAGAGCAGCTAGTAGGTTGAACTACCAGCTTGTGGCTCACAGTCCAGTGCTTATCTGACAGCGCCACAGCAGGACTGCTAATATTAATTATGTTGTGTTGTTGTTAAGTACCGTGGAGTCGGTTCCGACTCATAGTGATCCTGCACAGGGTTTCCGAGGCTGTAAATCTTTATAGGAGCACAAAGCCTCATCTTTCTCCCGCGGAGCCGCTGGTAGTTTCAAACTGCTGACCTTGAGGTTGGCAGCCCGACTCGTAACCACTACGCTACCAGAGCTCCTTAATATTAATTGTACCTTATTTAAATTATTACAGTCTGTGAGTGGTATAAAAATTTAATGTGAATGTGCTCAGCTGCTAACTGATTTGAGTCCACTCAGAGGTACCTCAGAAGAAAACCTGATGATCATATGAAAAATCAACCATAAATAAACCCTGTGGAGTTCAGTTCTCCGCTCAGAGTCAACTGTTCTTTGTTTTTTAATTTAAGTCATCAATGTACTTGTCAATGATATTCATACTAAACTCTTTCAGGGCAAAACATAGCACATAATAGATGCTCAATAACTCTTTGCATCACTTACTCATTTATTTAAAAGATATATTTGATTGACTAGTCTTTTTCAAATACTCTCCTAGCCCTTTTTATAACCCAAATAGACATAATCTTTGTCTTCACAGAGTTTACAGTGTAGCTTTAAGCAAATACCTTTAAAAATGGTTTTATAAATGTGAATAATACAATCCCTGGCCATGTTATTTCTAGGCCATAGAATCCTTAGCCATTGATCTGCAAGATTGCACAATCCCTAGAGGGCAGGGCCAATGCTCCTCAGGTTCATAGTTTCCAGTGTCATGTACAGTGTACATCAT